ATGATAAGACATCACAGTACAACTCGACACTCGGCTAATCTCAACAGGATGGTAACATTACTGGAGATAGAAACAAAAGAAGTCATCATTGGAGTAATGTCCTTTTACAAGGCTTAAATCTCTCTGGAGAGGAAAGTATTTTCGGTAGAAAACCCAAAGTCCAGTCTTCTATCACCAACAATCCATTGAAAGGATAACAACACAAACAAAGTTTCAGCTGGAAAAAAGTCATGCTTAGCTGGAGATACTGGGAACACCACCCTCTGATAATGTATGAAAAACATATCTTGACAAATCTGGATTGCCCCTGGGATTAATTTTGGATGCCCCAAGTTTACTGCTGATAATCTACGTGATGCACGACAATTCTTGCGAATAGCTTCACTTCTAACATGCCCCAAGCTATCTGGTTGATGAGGAGAAATCGTCTCAAGAGGATTTTAAAAAAGACCTGGCATTCACCATGCTCTGGTGTCTTCAAACTCTTAGAGGAATTCATCAAATCTCGACGTGATTGCCCCGGATTGACTGTAGTTGACACAACAAAGTCTTCAAATTTTGCCCCAAAAGAGTAAACAAGTTGGGAAAGCATTAATTAGGAGAAGCAACATGTCCGTGCTTAAGGTATTCAGGTGACATGCCCCTGCATATGATTTTTTTCTTGAAATGATCCGCCAATTACTCAACAGAGCTTCAGGCCTTAAAAACAAACTCATCACTGGTGCTTATGTGAGCTTCCTTGATATCAAACAAATGTTTTGCAGTTAGAAAAAGTTTACAATGAAAATGAAAATTCTAATGCAACAGTTATATAAGTCTTAAAGATTTTGAAAGATATCGCACAAATTTTGCGAGTTAAAGCACCATTTATTTTTATATAGGAAAAACATATGATACCAACATAACTATTTAACAATCGTTCATGGGAGTCAGGAACACTATCTCATGGAAGTATGCTTTCAAAATAACCTTGCTTTAATTAGGACTTTTGAAGGTTGTAACGTGGTCTTGTTCATGGTTTTAGAAAAAAAGATTTAAGGCTCAAAATATTTGGTGCCCACCCCCTTCATGATGTTCTCCAATCCTATGTTCAGTTAATTCAACATGAGTGTTCATCTCTCAAAAGGATTTTGTGACGGTCAAGGAAACAACGAGGCTTTCGGAGTAGAAACCGCTCTCATGTCTTCGTGTTTGTAGTCACCAATTTGTTCTTTGCTGAGGACTTTTCTTTGCAGTCCTTTTCTTTGCGATTTTATTTTCCCTAAATTTTGCCTGAACTAATTCTTTTGAATTGATAGTCCAGCGGGAGGCCTTAATTTTGCCTAAGTCACATGTTTTCATGTTTTTTGACATAGCAGGCTTTTTCTTTTTCTTGATTTTTGACTTTTTGAACAAAATGTGTGACATTAGCTTGTCTTTGCTTGTTGAGAGGATTGTGATTGCCTCGTTTCTTGATGAATGAGGGATAACATTGTTGTTCCACATCCTCTAGATTCATTATACACGAAGGATAGCCCTTGTAGTTTCTCTTCAAAAAATATCTTCCTTATGAATTTTGAACACTCAGTCAGATTAACTAAAAACTACCCTGCCCCAGGTTAAAATTCAAGGTTTTTCGTATAGAAAAGAAACTTCTGCTTCAAAGGCTCAAAAGGGGTTAGCAAGGGATTATCTTCCTTATATCTCCGGTGTTCAGGGATTTGAAACAATGCCTGTACATCATCAGCAAGATTTTATCCAAAAGCAAACAACCAGAGATTTTGTGTTCTTTAGATCATCATCCTCCCTTCAATCTCTGCCTAGGCAAGAGAATGAGCAACAATTTGGTATCGTAGTGCAAAAGCAATTTAGAATTTGAAAACAAACATGAGTGAAACGAATGAATTTCTCCAAGACAAACATACTCATTGTATTAAGATAATCATTCAGATGCAAACAAGTTCTTACATGCAAACAATGTTTTGATAAACAAGAAAAAATTACAAAAAGCATAAATAAGTTAATAATCTGGGAAGGCTTTCCATCTGGACTTGAATTACCGAAAACATCCTTCAAAAATCAAAGTCACTATCAATCGTGTTTACTCTTCGGCGCATGCTTGATTTGAACTTCAAAACCAACGTCCTTGAATTACAAGATACCACTTCTGACCAACTTCTTAACCTCAATCTTCAGAGCAAAGCAACCCTCCAAGTCATGCCCAGGATCACCTTGATGAAAGGTACGAGTCAAATCAGCTTTGTAGTACCAATGTATCTTCTCAGGAACCTTCGGTGGAGGTCGGGTCTGAACCAAATTCCTCTGCATCAGGATAGGGAACAACTCTGTATAGGTAATTGGAATTGGATCAAACTGGGTTTTCCTTTGATTGGGAACTTGCTGATTCTGTTGATGAATAGGAGAAACATGATGATTCTGACAATGATTATTTCTTCCTCTGGTTCTCTTCTTGGAAAAGTTATTATCAGACCTCTTCACACCATTAGCTGAGCTACCATCTTCATATGAACATCCCCTTCCAACATCTTCTTCTAGACGCACTCCCACATTCACCTTGTCAGGAAAGTCATTAGGTGCATTAACCATCACCTTCTCATGAGAGAATAATTTTAGAGTTTCAGTGAAGACTTTTATCATCGCTTCCTCCATCCTAGAAGGATTGACTTGGGCGGTAACCAAAATTTCAACCCAAAACAGTCGAGTGATCCATACTAGCTTTCAAAATAGTCATCTCTCTACGGAGTTCAGAAACCTCTTGCTTGATATTCTCCATTGTTCTCTTAGCGCGAGTTTTGTACTGGTGAGACCAAAGGAAAAAATAAGACTTGGAAAAAGACCTTTGAAAGTGAAACAAAAAATGTAGAATGATGTATGATATGCAAAAGAGAGTTTTTATTTGATTTTCAAGGAGCTCAAGATATTAAGTTGTAAACATCAAAGTATGAAGATAGAAGATGAATTTTAAATTGGCTCCAAACATTGATCAAGTTATCATCAAGATCAATCATCCATTTTGGTGGATTAAGGTTTTCGCCCTATCAACACCCAAGATCCATTGAGCTTGACGAAACTTGTGATGTTTACAAAGAAAGACCTCCAAACTCCTTCAAAGTCAAGTGAAAAGGGTTTTATGGATGCATGAATGCATGGCTATGCAAAAACCACAAGCAAGGTCACAAATAAAGTCGAGAGGTTCAACATCACGAGCATGGAGTCAAGGTAAGGAACACCCCCAAGGTATGTACTAACGGTTTAATCACACCTGTAGAACAAGGTTCTAAGAGTTCCCGGAGTCTACATTCCTCCTTCGGATATTACCAACGTCTTGATTACTCAATAATCAGCAATATTCTCAAGAGAAACTCATCCGAGTGTAGCATTGCGTAACAATTACTTCCGGATTACTTCGTTATAATCTCCGCGCTACACCTAAAAGGCCAAGATGGGTTAGGGTTCTACGGTTCCCAGCTTCTCTGGCTCCCAGGTCGAAAATAATAATGTCTTCCCGATTACTCGGTAAACAAATATTACGTTCAAAAGGGCCTTCCACTGAGTGGGGGATCTCATGCCTCCTTCTTCGGGATTACTCCCTCAAAGTTAACATGACTATACCGCCCGTCCTATTCCTAAGTGTAATTTAGTCCGGGTATAGGACTTGTCCCTTGCAAAAACCCAAATAACAACAATATATCACAAATAATCAAACAAACAAGTAATAATAACAAAAAAAAATATGACAAATTAGGCTTAACCCACTTTAGGGATGGACCAGCAAGAGGTCAATCTTTCCCCAGCAGAGTCGCCAATTCTGTAGCGGTGAAAATCGGAGATCAAGCTATTAATTAACTTGACTCACAAAAGCAAGAGTCGCCACCGCGCTTTATTATTTCCAAGGGAAAAGGGAAAAGAGCGAAATAAAACCCTAAAATATGCAATGTAAAATAATGCTTAAAAGTAATAAAAATACAATGCGTTTTTGAAAGAGATCGAGAGTTCGGGGGTTGGTTATACAGTGGGAAGGTATTAGCACCCAATGCATCTGTGGTACTCCGCAGGAACCTTTTGAAATATCTGTTTTTTGGTTTAAAATTGTTTGTTTTATTAAAATGATTCGTTTGGCTAAAAGATGGGTATGGATGAGATTTTTGAAGATACGACGACCTAGTATCGAAGTTTTGACTTAAAAAGGTGTGAGTTTGAAAATGGAGTCTTTTGGGAAAATTATCTTAAGTTTGGAAAAATAGTAAACAAGCAAAAAATGAATGAGGTTATTCGCACGATTGTAGAAGGCGTATTTGATGACGTGAAGTCAACAAAGTTTAAATCTTTTCCTTGGAGTAAAACAGAAAGACCATAGACATAGCATTTATCAACAAATAACAAGATAAAATCAAATAATCACAAAAATAATTTAACAATTTAAACGATCAATACACAAATCAATTAAATAAATTAAAAATATTTAATAAAGCTAATTAATAAAAATTAGTTAAACTAAGTAAAAATTAATTAATCAAATTAATTAGCATCTCATAATTAACAAAAGTAAAATAAAGCAATTAAAAAAAATAGCAACAATTAATTCAATCAAACATCATTAGCAAAATATCAACATAACTTAAAAACTAAAAATAAACAAGAATAAGAAGAAATTAAATAATATGCTTGAATAAAAAAAAACACAGGGGCTGGAATAATGTAATTCAGATGGTCTTGATGGTCTTGATGGTCTTAAGTTTAATATTAACAAAATAGAGAACAAAAACAAAATGACACGCTACGTTATCGGCTTCTCACCCTCTAAAATCCCTTGCACGATTCTCCTTCGCTTTCTCTCTCTCTGCTCCAACGTACCGTCACCATCATCTCTCAAACGAAATCAATCAAACAATATCAATATTCAGATTCTCGGTTCATCTCTCTAATCCGTGAATAATAACAACCGATTTCTATTTTCCGGTTTGCTCACAATCGATTGCTATAACAACAACTTATGTTCCTCACTCGCGTTTCTCATTCTAAACACAAAAATAAAGACAATCACAATGACAAAATTTGAGAAAGAAGAAAAGAAAACTTACAAACTCGGAGTTAGTCTGGGGATTCCGACCATTTTTTATTGGATATGATGGCTCAATCACAATTCCACACTTTCCGGATTTGCTCGAAGCAAGATTACGTTCGAGTCTGATGTAATCGGCTTCTCCCCAACTACCACCCCATGAATTCCTAACTATCCAATAATCTTTACCGTTTTCTGTCCCGTATCCAACCGCTGCAACACCATGGTCTAGTGCTGTTCCACATCTTCCTGTAAAGACACCAGATTCATATAACTGGAATTCTCTACCACCTCCTTCAACAGCAACGGCGATAACCTGATTTGCAACAGCCTTTTTCAAAGCACCTTCATCATAAGCCGGAACATCCTCATAGTCATCAATTGAAACAACTTTAGCATTTTTCCTATTTTGATCACATCTACCATCAATAGCCTTGTAGGGATAATCCTCGTCAGAGTCAATGCCACCATTATTGATGATGAACTCAAAGGCATAGTCCATAAGTCTTCCATTGCATCCTTCATTATATGATATATCACAGTCCACAAGTTCTTGTTCTGATAATGAAATTGGATCACCTGTTGCCAACTTATTCACTCCTTCAACAGCCGCTATTGCAGAGAATGCCCAACAAAATTCAACAGTAGATATTCTCACTTTTCTTATACATCTTGGAAGGCTCTAGCTGAAGTACTGGTAGTATTTCGTTAAGGAGAACAAGGGCGTTGAATAACGAGACCGCACAATTGAGAGTTTCCTTCAAAGCTGGTGTTGGAAAAAAGTATCAAACTGACTACCCGTTGGTATCCGTCCTTGCAGATTATTGTACGCTACACTAATCAAGGAGGTATCGAACCATTGAATTGATTAAACGAAAGATCCAAGGCCTCGAGTTTCATCAGGTTTTTAAGCCAACTCGGTATTTGACCTATGAAATTACAGCCACCTAATCCTAAAACTTGGATATTTCGGAATCCATCAGGTTCTATCATGTTCGGCATTACTTCATAGTAAAAATTCTTGGAGAGCATAAGGGTACTAAGCTTCTTGAGACCAGTGAGTATTCTAAGAGCACCAGTGATATTCTTCAGCTTGTTATCAGACATCGACAAGAACGAGAGAGACTCGAGTCCAAGTATCTCAAACGAAACCTGTCCCTCAATCTGATTAGACGCAAGCCTCAATGCAGCAAGCGACTTACAATCATAAAGAGTCGGCGGTAACACACAAGTAAACCTATTGTTACCAAGATCAAGCGTAGCAAGCCTGACCAATCCGGAGAAATTGAATGCCGATAGATTTCCTTCCAATCTATTAACCCTCAAATTCAACACAACGAGATTGTTACAATTCATAAAAGACGGCGGAATCGTACCAGTCAAATTGTTGACATGAAGAAGCAATTTTTCCAATTTCAAAAGCTTACCAATATCCTTAGGAATAGAACCTGTCAACTGATTGGAGTAAAGCTCTAAAACTGTGAGATTTGCAAGATTAACAATTCCATCACCAATTGTTCCATCAATTTTATTCAATGGCAATGATATTTCAATGAGTGAAACAACATCATAAACATCAATTGGGATATTCCCTGATAGTAGATTGAAACCTGCTATAAACCTCACAAACTTAGAACATGCACCTAAACCAGTCTGAATAGCACCGTCAAAATCATTGGAAGAAAAATCCAAGAATCTCAAAGAAGAACTCTTATCTATACCAACATAAAAGTTTGAAACTGGAATATGACCTGTGAAACTGTTGTTACTAACATTGAAAGATATCAAATTACCTCCTTCAGCAAGATTCCGAATCAGAGAAACAGGCAATGTTCCATTGAATGAATTACTAGACAAATCAAACACCTGAACAACAACACTGCTATTTCTGGTTCCATTCCAAAGTGGCAGTTCACCGGAGAAACGATTGTAACTCAAATCAAGAACTAAAAGATGGTTAAAAATTGAAAAAAAACAGACTTTGAAGATTACCATGAAGTTTATTATGAGAGAGATTAAGATGAGCAAGAGATTGAAGAGAAGTGAAAGTAGAAAGTGAAATGAAACCATTGAGACCTCTAGAGGGTAACAAAAGATGAGTAACATGTTGATTATTTTGATCACAAGTTACACCTTCCCAATCACAACAATCAGAGGTAAAAGACCAGTTAAGAGGTGGGTGAGGTGATAAAGTTGAGATATTCGAAGAGAAAGACAAGAGTGAATCTTTGTCAAATTGGTTACAAGAAGAAGAGACATGAACAAGGAACAAGGTTACAAATAAGGTTGTTGTTATGATTGAGACCATTAGTTTGGAGAAAACTATGTAAGTGTTGGAAGAAGGGTTAGACTTAGAGGGTGGTTGTGATCTCATGAAGGGAAAGTTTGGGTGTTTGGAGTGTGTGGAAGATGAAGGAGGAAGATGAAGGGAACATAAGGGTGAGATGAACCAATGAAGGAGAAGATTTTTGGAGGTGCGAGTTATCAGACGGATGGCAGATGATGATGAACAGAGTTTGTGCTATGAAGAAGGGAGCTCGCGGAGAAGTTGAAGGTAAGGCGGGGGGAGTAGTGTTGATGGTTGAAGATTTCCCTCCAGAGGAATTGGTGTGATTTGAATATATGGACTTTTTTGTTCAAGAGTCAACAAGAGTGGTTTTTTTTTGTGTCTTCTTTTTTCTGTCGATCCGCAACTCTTGCTTACGACCAATGAGAGCAAAGCAAAGTGTAACAAACATTTTTTTATGACAGAAAAGCCCTTTAATGATAAAATAACTTAAAAACCTAAAAGTATAAAATATAACTCAATTTAAAATAGTTTTTTTGAATTTTTTTCTGAATTAAAAATAAAGACACAAAATGATCGAAAACGATAAAAAAACGGACGAAAATTTATCCGATAAAATAAAATGAACACATTAAAATAAACTACATGTCACGATGATTAAAGAAGAACAATATTCAAAAAGTCAAAAAAATCAAAAATAAAATAATAATAAAATATCAGACTAAACAGACGTTTAAGGTTAAAAACGAGACTTCGAACTGTACCGAAAAATAAAGCGAGCATACCGTCATAATCTACGCGAAGTGCAGATTCATAAAATGATCGGTAAAAGGTGAAAACTTGAAATATTTTCTCGCTACTTTCCCGCATAGTGTCGAATCGCTTTTAACAGTCTGTCTATAAAACCAAAATATTTTTATTATTGACATATAAACAACTTGGAGCAATGCAAGAAACGAGTGAAGAGATAAAAATGCATGAAATGAAATGTTAGGTATTTTACAACTAAAAGACGATGCAAACTTTGATTTAAACTGACTCTTTCTGGTCAACTTAAATACGACTAATGATGCAAAATGTGATGAATGAAGGTATTTACTAATGATTGTGACCAAATGACAAAATATGGTATGAATGTGTGACTGAAAAAATTAGGGGCGAAACTTAGGGTGCAATAGTTGTGCCTTGATGAATCAGTCTTCGAGAATCCACAATCAACCGTACTTCGGGCTTGGGAGAATCAAAACCTTAATTGAGGCGCGACATCTGATGCTCTTGATCCAGACCTGTCTCTGCACATGACACAAAAGAAAACATGAACATACACCTTTGTATGCGATTAGAAATTAGTGATACATAGGCTAAAAATGTTCAAAACACTTGACAATCTTCGCATAGTCAAAGCTCGAAGGTGAGAGGTTAAAACCAACCGTATTTCGTGACCTTGGCTTATGTTTAAAAATGCAAAAATAAATATGGGATCTTAGGTCAAAAATTTGGGTACAACAGCATCCATAATGACAAGGATACCAACCATTGGAGTAAAAAAATCTCAATAGCGAACTACCTTCCATAATGACAAGGTTACCATCCATTGGAGTAACAAAATCTCAACAACGAACTACCTTCCATATTGACAAGGCTACAATCCAATGGAGTAATAAAATCTCAACAACAAACTACCATCCATAATGACAAGGATACCAACCATTGGAGTAAAAAAATCTCAACAGCGAACTACCTTCCATAATGACAAGGCTACCATCCATTGGAGTAACAAAATCTCAACAACGAACTACCTTCCATATTGACAAGGCTACAATCCATTGGAGTAACAAAATCTCAACATCGAACTACGTTCCACAATGACAAGTCTACCATCCATTGGAGTAACAAAATCTCAATAATGAACTACCTTCCATAATGACAAAGCTACCAGCCAATGGAGTAAAAAAATCTCAACAACGAACTACCTTTCATAATGACAAGGCTACCATCCAATGGAGTTACAAAATCTCAAAAATGAACTACCTTCAATAATAACAAGGCGACCATCCATTGGGGTAATAAAATCCCAATAACGAACTACCTTTTATAATGACAAAGCAACCATCCATTGGAGTAACCAAATCTCAACAATGAACTACCTTCCATAATGACGAGGCTACCATCCATTGGAGTAACAAAATTTCAACAACGAACTACCTTCCATAATGACAAGACTACCATCCATTGGAGAAACAAAAACTCGTCAATGAACTACCTTCCATAATGACAAGGCTACCATCCATTTAAGTAACAAAATTTCAAAAATGAAATACATTCCATAATGACAAGGCTATCATCCATTGGAGAAACAAAATCTCAATAATTAACTACCTTACGTAATGACACGGATACCATCAATTAGAGTTACAAAATCTTAACTACAAACTACCTTCCACAATGACAAAGCTACCATCTATTAAAGTAACAAAATCTCAACAATGAACTACCTTCCATAATGACAAGGCTACCATCCATTGGAGTAACAAAATCTGAACAACGAACTACCTTCCACAATGACAAGTCTACCATCCATTGGAGTAACAAAATCTCAACAACGAACTACCTTCCATAATGACAAAGCTACCATACATTGGAGTAAAAAAATCTCAACAACGAACTACCCTTCATAATGAAAAGCCTACCATCCAATGGAGTAACAAAATCTAAAAAACGAACTACCTTCCATAATAACAAGGCTACCATCCATTGGAGTAACAAAATCTCAACAACTAAATACCTTCCATATTGACAAGGCTACAATCCATTGGAGTAAAAAAATCTCAACAACGAACTACCTTATAAAATGACAAGGCTACCATCCATTGGAGTAATAAAATCTCAACAACAAACTACCATCCATAATGACAAGGATACCATCCATTGGAGTAAACAAATCTCAACAACGAACTACCTTCCATATTGACAAGGCTACAATCCATTGCAGTAACAAAATCTCAACAACGAACTACCTTCCACAATGACAAGTCTACCATCCATTGGAGTACCAAAATCTCAACAATGAACTACCTTCCATAATGACAAAGCTACCATACAATGGAGTAATAAAATCTCAACAATGAACTACCTTTCATAATGACAAGGCTACCATCCAATGGAGTAACAAAATCTCAAAAATGAATTACGTTCCATAATAACAAGGCTACCATCAATTGGAGTAACAAAATCCCAATAACGAACTACCTTTTATAATGACAAGGCTACCATCCATTAGAATAACCAAATCTCAACAACAAACTACCTTCCATAATGACGAGGCTACAATCCATTGTAGTAACAAAATTTCAACAACGAACTACCTTCCATAATGACAAGACTACCATCCATTGGAGTAACAAAATCTCAACAATGAACTACCTTCCATAATGACAAGGCTATCATCCATTGGAGAAACAAAATCTCAATAATGAACTACCTTCCGTAATGACATAGATACCATCAATTAGAGTTACAAAATCTCAACAACAAACTACCTTCCACAATGGTAAGGCTACCATCCATTAAAGTAACAAAATCTCAACAACGAACTACCTTCCATAATGACAAGGCTACCATCCATTGGAGTAACAAAATCTGAACAACGAACTTCCTTACACAATGACAAGTCTACCATCCAATGGAGTAACAAAATCTCAACAACGAACTACCTTTCATAATGACAAGGCTACCATCCATTGGAGTAACAAAATCTCAACAACAAACTACTTTCAATAATGACAAGACTATACTAGCCATTGGAGAAACAAAACCTCCACAACGAACTACCTTCCATAAAGGCAAGGCTAACATCCATTGGAGTAACAAAATCTCAACAATGAACTACCTTCCGTAATGACAATGATACCATCAATTGGAGTAACAAAATCTCAACAACGAACTACCTTCCATAATGATAACGCTACCATCCATGGAGTAAAAAAATCTCAACAACGAACTACCTTCCAAAATGTCAAGGCTACCATCCATTGGAGTAATAAAATCTCAACAACAAACTACCATCCATAATGACAAGGATACAATCCATTGGAGTAAAAAAATCTCAACAACGAACTACCTTCCATAATGACAAACCTACCATCCATTGTAGTAACAAAATCTCAACAACAAACTACCTTCTATATTGACAAGGCTACAATCCATTGGAGTAACAAAATATCAATAACGAACTACCTTCCACAATGACAAGTCTACCATCCATTGGAGTAACAAAATCTCAACAACGAGCTACCTTCCATAATGACAGAGCTACCATACAATGGAGGAAAAAAATCTCAACAACGAACTACCTTTCATAATCACAAGGCTACCATCCAATGGAGTAACAAAATCTCAAAAATGAACCACCTTGCATAATAACAAGGCTTCCATCCATTGGAGTAACAAAATCCCCATAACGAACTACCTTTTATATTGACAAGGCTACCATCCATTGGAGTAATCAAATCTCAACAACGAACTACCTTCCATAATGACGAAGCTACCATCCATTGGAGTAACAAAATTTCAACAAAGAACTACCTTCCATAATGAGAAGACTACCATCCATTGGAGTAACAAAACCGCAACAATGAACTACCTTCCATAATGACAAGGCAACCATCCATTTAAGTAACAAAATCTAAAAAATGAACTACCTTCCATAATAACAAGGCTACCACCCATTGGAGTAACAAAATCTCAACAACGAAATACCTTCCATATTGAAAAGGCTACAATCCATTGGAGTAAAAAAATCTCAACAACGAACTACCTTCAGAAATGACAAGGCTACCAATCATTGGAGTAATAAAATCTCAACAACGAACTACCATCCATAATGACAAGGATACCATCCATTGGAGTAGAAAAATCTCAACAACGAACTACCTTCCATAATGACAAGGCTACCATCCATTGGATTAACAAAATCTTAACAACGAACTACCTTCCATATTGACAAGGCTACAATCCATTGGAGTAACAAAATCTCAACAACGCACTACCTTCCACAACGACAAATCTACCATTCATTGGAGTAACAA